TTTAGTCAATCTTTTTCTTGAAATCACGTTAAATGTGTAGATTAACGTAGGGAGAGTTAATGTTTATGTGTTGAGTTTTCCTGTCCAACAACCTAATAATATGCCATGTTCTGTAATGTCATATGTCGATGTTTATGTGTCCTAGCCTCCTCACTGGTATTTGATCTTTTCTTCATGAAGATGTTGTATATTTCTAGTAAGACTTATTCAGAGATGTCCAAGAAGCAGGTAAATGTGCAAATGCAGAACTTCAGGCAAGCCTGGGACTCTGTGGCAGGGGATTGAGTGGAATAGGGAGTGTCTGTGTAGATTTGTCATAGAGGGGCAGGCAGGGTGGCCCCTTGTGCCCAACCACCATTGGTTCATGTAGGCTCTGACGTTTCGCCTATGACTGGTTCTAGACCTGTCCTTACTAAATTTTATCTCGGTTCCTCACTTCCTATCATTCATGTAACTGCCCTGTACCCATATTGCCAGCAATAATCACCTATTTTGACCTCGTTTGTCCTGACACCATAGATGGTATTACCCATGCTTTTCAGTGTTTGAATAGTAAAGATACTACTAATGATAGTATTAAAAATAATAGTAACCACCTATTGAGTGAATATTATGTACCTAGTTAAGGGTGGATGATCACACACACACACCCCCCCCAACACACAAGCATGTGCGTTAGTGGAGGCTCTTCATACTAAGGTCACACAGATTGTGAAGTGACAGAGGTAGAATTTAAACCTATCTTTTGTTCTAAGTCCCATAATTTCCAAAGTGTTGCCCCAGTGTAACCTTCCAGAAGTTTTAGGTTCTTGAAAAAGTTGAAAGTTGAAAATGAGTAATTGTATACATTTTTTAAATTTTAATGTCTAAGCCCTTACTAAAGCACTTTTCTAGATGGAGAAATGGAGACACATCAGGAGACCATAAATTGTGTGTCAGAGGCTAATTTGGTAATAGAATCTAGGTCTTTTGACTCTGTCCAGCATTTTATTCTCCGGTAGAAACTGATTTATGCATGTTCTCTCCCTGACACTCAGCATAGAGCTTTACACATACATGGTGCCTAATCTTTTGCTAGCCTCTCCTCTTTGGCAGCAGGGAAAGTTAATATAATGCTAAAGCCTCTTCTAGCTTCTTTCCTTTCTTGTTATTTTTTTAATGCCACCCTCAAGTTTAGGGAAACTTTTGGAGGAGGTTTCTATACATGTTTTACACGTTGTTCTAAGCAAGGAAGATTGAGATACTTCAAGAAGTCTGAGTTCAACTTGTTGGAAAAGGACTTCTTTTGAAACTGTATGAAAGAAAGGACTTTGAAAGGACGATCCATATTGGACTCTAGTATGTGTTATTGTTCCACATTAGCAGCTCCAATGCAAGCCAAGTAGAGCTATCAGTGACAGTGCACTTGGTGTGTTGTTCTGTGAGTGGGACAGTTGTCACAAATCCCTGTAAATGGGCCCTTCCCTTTGCTATAGCAAGAGTCTCCTTTTTATCTGGCTGCTGCTTTTTCTTTAGTTTGTTCAAGCTCATCAGCTGTCTTCCAGCAGCTGGGAATGTCAATTTATGGTGGGAAATTCTATTGGTGTGAAATGAAGTAATTTATAAACCCCAAATCCTAACAGTTTCAAAGCCCTTGTACATAAATAAAATATGTTCAGCTGGTAAAAAAAATCTGTAATTTTAGAACTTGTTACTATTTTACAACTGGAGAAGTATCCATTTGGTACTTCTTTTCTTAACCAATGTGCCATTTGTGGTTTGTTTCCATATTGCCTTCTCCCCAGTTACTATCTCATTATCTGATAAATGACATTTATTGGGAAATTCTATATGTCACAGCTAAAAATAGCTACAATTTATTAAAATTTACTCTGTTCTCAACACTTAGCCCTCAAACAATTCTGTGTGGTCAGTGCTTCTATTTGTCTTACTTGAGCCAGAGCATCTAAATGTTTTTGGAAATGAATCCAGCAAATATTTGTTTTACCTTAAAAGGAGATGATTCCCCTCACACTCCTCACTTTTACCCCCTGGCTGACAGTAGCTTTGGAGGATTCAGAAAACAGCGATAAACAACTTAGTTTCTGACTTTTGGTGTTGCAAATATATTTACTTCATTAAAATATGAAATGAGGGCCTCCCTGGTGGTGCAAGGGGTTAAGCACAGCACTATGAAGCAATCCGCAGCCTCTGCAGCTCGAGTTTGATCCCCTGCCAGCCAGGGAGCAACCCACATGGCGAGGCAGACCTCTCTTGCTTCACCCACTGCTTCCCTCAGCATTGTGTTTCAGTCAATCTGTCTGTTCTGTTCCCCACTCTGTCTCATCCTCTCACCCCCTACATCTCTGGCCTGTACCCCAGCTCTTGTATGCATAAATAAATAAATCTTTAAAAAAATAAATGAAATGAACAGTAAAGATGATTATCCCCATTCTTTTCACCTGTGATGTTGAAAGAGATCATCTCAACTGTGAACAGATTGAAATTATCAATGAAAATGATAATTTGTGTAACTTTAGGAAAAAATCTGATTGTCTTGTAAACATTGCCTATTGCTCTGCAGATAGTGGATACTCGGCATGATTTGGACAACTGAGTCTAGAATTTAAGTCTTCTGGTTCCTATGTACTTCTTTTTTTACATTTTGTTTTACCTGCATATGCTCAGCCTTTAAACACTTAATGTAAATTCCTCATCCACCAAATTGAAATATAGGCCTTTCTCTCTCTCTCTCTCTCTATATATATATATATGTGTGTGTGTGTGTGTGTGTATGTATCTCTATCTAGATATCTCTATATAAAGATATAGAGATAGATATATATCTTGATAGAGCTATATAGATATATAGATGTATATAGATATCTTTATATAGATATAGCTATAGATATATATATCTCTCTGTATAGATAAAATCACAAATTGTTGCAGCTCTCCTGAATAAATGGGCATTTCAGAGTGAGATTATATCTGTAATTCTTAATTGGACAAGAGTTCTGACACAGCTATCAGATCTTACTAACTATTCTGTACTAGGTTTTCCCCGTTGTTTGCCATCCAGGTAGCATTCACCTCACTTGAGGTGAGGAACAAACTCATTAATTCCACATGATCTCTTCCTTGGCTTATGTTGCAAAAGTCATAGTGAAATCAAGCTATAATCACTGCCTCACTTCTCTGTCTCTTCACTCTTAGTGAAGCAGAAGGACCTACAGCATAAAGAGAAGCTCACAGTGCTGAGGCACTAGAAACTTAGAACATAAATCTAAGTTCTCTTGAGAATGGAAAATAGTAACAGAAGATTGCTAAGGAATACATCACTCACATCTTCCTTATTGTTTGCATAATTAATACAAAACAAGACCATGATTAAGATATGAGGTAAACACTAAAACTAAATGCAGCCCTTCTTTTTCTTAATTCCATACTTGCTTCCCCCTACCCCCACCTCCGCCCCATCATGTACATATACCTATGCACACATACATATACACTGTGTATTAATTTGGGAGTTTTAAATTGATTACAAAAAGGTAAGTTATGATTCTGAGTTAATTAAAGCTTGAAGTACTTCATGAGCAAAAAAGTGAACATTAAAAAGGAGAGGTATCCAGTGACTTAAGATTAATTTTTGCTCAGTGGTGTGGGAAGAGTGACAGTCGGAGACCAGGAATCTTCTGTGTGGTTCTCCATTAACTCACCATTTGATCTTGGACAAAACATTTTCTCTCTTCTTTTTTTTTTTTTTTTTTTTTTTTTTAATTTTATAGAGGCATGTTTATTTATATTTATTTATTTGTTTGTTTTGTTTATACATGCACTGGGTACAGTCAGAAGCACGGGAGGGTGAGAGAATTCACCAGAGCCAGAGCGGGGAGCAGAGCAGGCAGAAGGACCGAAGTACACTGCTGAGGGGAGCAGCGGGCGGCAGGAGAGGTCTGCGCGCCATGTGGGACCCTCCTCTGGTGGCCGGGGAGCAGCCGGGGATCGAACCGGCGCTGCAGAGGCTGCGGGCAGGTTCGCAACCCAGCGCTCAACCGCTGCGCCACTGGGGAGGCCCCATTTTCTCTCTTCTTGATCCCATTTGCTTTTCTGTAAAAGAAGAGAATTAAGTTAGAGGACAGCCAACTTTCTGATCCTGTACCATGTCACATACTTTGATGTCCTTTAAGTACTGCTTTTATGGAATGACCCTTGTCTTGAAAGAGATTTGAAAGATGGGACATTAATTTCTTTAGGCACTTTCTTAGATTTTGAGAGTTAGCTTTTCTTTTTCTCTTGTCAGTTACTAAAATTAGGGTTTGTATGGTGTCTTGTAATTGGTGGTTTGTTTTGTTTAGTTATCAGAGGGATCTCATGCAGTAATTCTTAAGTCCAGGGATTTATGCTTTTTCATTTCATGTCAATTTCTTACTGGGGGTGGTAAAATCTGCTTCATACATAAATACCTTTTCTTAGTTCTGTTTGGTTTAGCTAATTAATATTAGTGGGTATATTCTGTTTATGCTCTCCCTTGCTACATGTGATTTATATATCTTTCACATTTAAGAAGGGGTGAATTCTATGGATATCTTATATCCCTCCCCAGGGGACTACTAAGCTCATGTGCATACCTAAGCATCTAGCTGGCCTGGTGTCTTGGGCACTTGCCTCCAACCTTTCTGTCTGGTCTTATACTTCTCAACCATTGATCCCCCAGGTTGCCTCTTCCACCTCTCCAATGTGAGCCTGATAAACTGAGGTTTCTGCTTGGACAGTATCCATATCATTATTATTATCTTTCTTCAAGCCATCTATATTTCTGATCCATTATATGGACTCTGGTCCCAAATATGTGCTCCTTTGTGAATGTCTGGCTTCATTTTCCTGGTTCTGCAATTTGCTATTTATGGATAGAATCCATAAAAGATATGTGGAATTTGAAGGTAGCAGGAACTTACCATTTGAGTTATTGCCTTAGTTTTTTTTGGGGGGGGGGCAGTCGGGGGTGGGCAGGCACTGGTAGGGAGAATCTGGGTAGGCTAGCTAGAACTGAAACCATTTGACTCTAAGAAACTAGTATCCATGCTTGATTCCCCCCAATCCCCCCTGCCCTAGGTTCTTTTCTGCTCCATCTAAATATGAAGGTCTGTGGACTTCTAGTGAGTCCTGGACCTGGGACACGACAGTGAGGGAAATCAGACATGGGGGACTGTCATGTCCAGCATGCAGTAAATCTTTATTGTCTTAGTGCTCATTATATACTATTTAAATTGCAGCAGGTGTAACATCAAAGCATACCATATAATGATAACACATATGAATGATTAGTCTACTTTCTTACTATTATCTATTTACTTCAGACAGTAGGGTACCAGGTGGTTAGTTCTCACGCACATAATCTTATCGCCCCATAGCTAGAGCTTGGGAAGTTCGCTTATTATTTTTGTTATTCTCAGACTGTGGAGATGTAGAGGCCTGACTCCACGCAGGTCACTTTCCGGGCTCTCAACACCAGGTCCTGTCACTTAGGTTTTCCTCCGAGACGCATGTGTTTTCACATGCCTTAGGTACTCAGGTCAAGGCCCTTCTGCTCACTGCGCGGGGTCTCTCCCAACAAAGGTCAACTCAGACTTCCAGTTTCTTCAGACATTCTCCTACATCCCCTATTGTACCTCTGCTCACAGACTATATTCTTACATTGGGGTGGGTAGGTGACTACTTAACATACTAGTCATTGGAGCCCCAAGTTAAAAATCACACTATGAATGGGACCTAGTTGCAGATCCTTGATTTCCTTCAACCTTTTTATTGAGATATAAGAGTATTAAAACTGTTCAGCAACGATGGAGGGCCTTAAAGATACCATACCTCATTTTGTGAACAAGGAAGCTGACGTTAGGAAATAAATTTCTCAAAATCATAACTATTAAGTGGTACAGAGAGATTTTAAAACCTGTTCTTCTGACTCCAGGCCAAATAAACCAAAGAATAGAAAGTATCAGTAAAATGACAGGTGATGGGGAAGAAAGTGGTCTCTAGTTTGAGTGTGTGGAATTGTTGAATCACACCTAATTTCAAAGGTATTAGCTAAAATTTTGCCTCTGGCACGTTGGAGCTACATTCCAATAATACTCTTAGCGTACCATCATAATTTCATCAGGTATTATACATAATTATGTTATTAAGTTATATGTATATAGGAAAAGTTAGAAAGCCAGAATTCAGCTGTATTTCATTACTAAACGTTTCTGTTCTGTTTTTTCCCCTTCATTACTAATTAGAACCATGACCCTCCTGGCATGCCATGATGTCATTGTACATTCTCACTTTCTTTTCCTTAGTGAGAAGTTTGACATAGTGTAAGGTGACCCTGGTTCCTTGCTAGTGAAGCTTTATCATACTTTGACATGTATTGCTACTGTGCTACTTAAGAACAAGAGGAAGGAGAGGTGTGTATAAGGCTTAGTTTATGTTCAGGACAGAGGTTGAATGGAATTTTACATTTTTTTTCTCCAACATTGAAGTACTACCACTCCTGACCATGAACTTAGCCCTGTATTAGGTACTAAAGTTAATACAAAAGGTGGATTACATTGGTCTCCACACTGTAGTTGAGACTTGAGTAAATTTTGTGAGCAGTATGAACAGTAGAGAAGTGCTTGGGGACAAAGGGTCCAGTTAGGGATATTTTCTTCAACTGGGCTTTTGTGATCTCACGTTTTATAGAACAAAGGTGGAACAATTTTTAACTTTCACCTTTTTTCTAAAAGCATTATAAATGGCTTATACAATTCAATCTGTTCTTCATCTAAGAAAAAGACATCTCTGTTATTCTTGATGGAATATTTCACAATAGCTTGTGTTAGTCACTTGCAGGTGAGGTAACAAAAATCAGCTTTTTGTTAAGAATATGAAGGAAGAATATGACCTGTCCTTTCAGTGTAACTTTTTTTTAAAGATTTATTTTATTTATTAATGCATACAAGAGCTCGGGTGTGGGCCAAAGATGCTGGGGTGAGAAGATTCACCAGAGAGAGAGTGGGGAGCAGAATAGGAGGATCTAATAAAATACATTGCTGAAGGGAGCAGTGGACGAGACAGGAGAGGTCTGCTGCACCATGTGGGTTAGCTCCCTGGCTGGGGATCAACTCATGCTGCAGTGGCTGCTGATAGCTTGATAGTGCTGAAACTTAACCCCTTGTGCCAGCAGGGAGGCCCTAGTGTAACTTTTTTAGAACTTTTTTTTTAAGGATTCCTCAGTCTTGAACATACAGTTTGTAAGCACTAAACCCAAAACAGCAGACAACCATCCTGAGTTTAATAGGGACACATAGTAGGTGGGTAAAACCCTAAGCCATAGACTGCCAGAATCCCCGAGTTTCAGAGGTAAAAGGAAGATGAACTGCCTATATGTGTTCACATGTCAACTAAGTGATCAGCTGACTGGAAAGAGTAGAGAGCTGGTGCAGGAGGAAGAGACCCACTTGTTCAAAACTGAAGGGGAGCCAGGGACAAGAGTAAAAGTGCAAGAGATGGATTGTCACACGTGTCTTTATTAGTGGGATACATGGCTCCAAAGCCCTGATCACAAAAATCTTCATTTGAACCCTTTATTAAACTCTTCCACAATGCAGAACTATAAATGAAGCTCTCACTGGGCTTTGGGGACTCCACTCAAGTCAGTTTTCACATGAATTTCACAAATTGCTATGACAGCAAACTCACTCTTCTTTGGAGAAATAAATGCCTGCAATTTTGATATTACATTAAGCTTTTTATGTGAAATTTTGGGCAATTTTCTAGAATCATTGTTTAAGGATTATGGCTTGGGACTGGCAAATGAGTCTTATTTTTAAAAACAGTTTTTTGCGTGGGTGAATGTGGAAGTGTGGGCATAGTGTCAGATAAGTGAATGTGTGGGTATTCATGTATCTATATCAGTGAAAGCCGTGATAATTACTATCCTCAGTACCCACGTTGGCACCATACTGTGTTTTAAATTGCAGATCTAAACAGAGTGCTAGTTAACAGGAAATTACATTTTCAGTTTAACAGTGGCATTTGATTATGCAGCAAGTAGCAGGTTTCTTCCTTTCTCTCTTATTCATTCTTCCTTTTTTTCACACTAGTAAATACATTTAGCACCCATCTGCTTGAGAAAAAGGAACATTGGGGCAACGATGGGTTTTTGTCATGAATACCGGGGACTTGGTGTGATGTCACTGCAAGCTCTGTGTGATCGTAGGTGGTGTTAGAGCTCTAGGAGCCAGAGGGGGAGAGAGCAGTGGAAGAGACGATGTCGCTCTCAGACAAACAGTCAGCCTCTCACTCTGCTGCTTTCGGCCAGCTCTGTAAGGGCAGACCTGCAGAGTGTCGGATGGACTCCCCAAAAGAAATCAGCCAAGCTGGATTTGAGTGGCAGAGGACAGAGGGCAGACTAAATGAAATCGGGCTGAATGTCAGCATGGATGGGCAGCTGAAAGACGGGCTTGTGAAGAATGCCAGCTTCCTGGAGCAGAATAAGCTCTGCTTCTTTGAGGGGAAGCTAGACAAAGAGCTCAGCATTGAAGTGCAGGACAAGGACTGTCAAGCAACCTCAGGTCACCTTGAGAGCAGGTATGTGATTTCAGAAAGCTACCCTCCCTCAGGGGGCAACTCAGTCCTCCAGAAGACAGCTGAGTTCCATCTGGGACCGATAGAGGGGCCAGACAAAAACAAAACCACTGCAGTTCAGGGGACAGTGAGAGGGGAAAATAGACCAGAGACCAAAAGCCAGACAGATCTGAATTTCACTGGAGCTGCTGACATCCCCACTGAGCATGTTAAGGAGCAAGAAACCAGTGTTTGGAACCCCAACTTTCATCCAGTGGCTCAAGGCTCTCAGGGCTCAAAGGAAGCAGCTCCAGGAAAAGAAAATGGCATCATCCCTGACTGTGGGGTAATTGGAGTGGTGAATAACTCTGGGCAGACAGAATGTGAGTCCTCACTGCTGACTGTAGCCCATTCAACCCCTGCTGTTGAGCATTCACCCACTGCCATTCCACCCATCACTATGGTGGAGTTCACCCAGGAATATTTGAATGCCAGCTCTCATATCAAGGACCATGATAAGGAGTTGGAGAAATTGTGTTCTACTGAGGAGGGGGCTTTGCTTGACCAAGCCCCCCAGCAGAAAAAGGCAATGCGTCGGGCCCTGTCTGAATGTTCTCACCTCTCAGTTCCTCCAGCTGTCAACCTTGCAGATAAGTATCCTGAACTCCCACCCCCAGAAGAGCTCTCTTCTGGCCTGCTGCCTTTCTCCAGTAGTCCAATGCCAAGTCCTCTACCCAGAAAACTGGGGGCTCCTGCTATAAGGCGCTCCATGACAGTGGCTGAGGAACAGACAGCTAGCTACAAATTGAATCCTGCAGAACTGCCCATCCCATCTACTGAGAAGATACCTCCTTTCATCATTGAGGAATCAGTGACCAAGAAAGAAGAACCGACCAACTTTAGCAGCAGCAGCTGCACTGGGAAAAAGGAACTGGGCACTGCTGGGTTCTCTCTCCATGGTAAGCTGGAGCAGATTCCTGAAGTAAGCAGCAAGGAAAAGGGGCAAGAAGATACTAGTGAAACAAGAACAGATTCATGCTCCCAAGTCTGCCAGGGAGGTGAGAAACAGCTGGGACAAACGACTCTGGCAGGGAAGAAAGAAATTGAGGTCACTGCAACCCAGAGCACTCCATCGTTTCAGTGTGAAGAGACCCCACGTGATGGTATGTTTCTAAATTTTGCCTCCTTGGGGAGCAAGCCCAGCAAGGAAGGAACCACAGTGACAGATTACTGGCAGGAGCATTAGGCTGCTGGAGTCTGACAGCCTGGGGAAAGCTTAATTCTGTTGCATTGGAAGGTTGCTGGGAGTCAGGCAAGAAAGCAAGCGAAGTGAATCTACCTGGGTCAACCTGAATGCCTGCTGGCAGGGCAGATTGGGGTGGGCTAATTGGGTTGGGAGTACATAGGATCAGAGGGTGGTGGGCATACGAAACAGACTCCCTTACTTGCCTTCCTGTCTCCCATCCCCCATCCTCTCACCCCTCAGCTCCCTGTTGGTTTGAACCAGATGCCCTGAGCTCTAAATCATCCAATCGCAGCTGATTGATTTCCTTGCTTGAAAATCTGTCACTGTGTAGATTCACAATGGGTTTATCAGCACTAACCTCCTCTTTAAGTAGCACAGTCTGGGTGCAAGCTCTGTTTTCCGTTTTGCTTTTGAGAATGTTTTACTTTTGTTCTAGCTGAAAAGAGCCCTTTAAAGCTGGCTATTTAATATTCTTTTCCTGTTCTTCATGTTTGACCCAATCTTGCTTCTAGTTTTCTCTTTCTTTATGAGTATAGGGAGGATTTGTGGGGAGAAGGAGAAGAAAGGGAAAGAGGAGAGGAGAAACTTGCATTTAATAAACAGCTAAATGTTGCTGTCTTTGTGACTGCCTCTGTGCCTTTCTTCATGGCCCTTTCTTTTCTTCCCCATCCCCCAACTCCCATGGGTCTTATTGTTGGTGGTCTAAAAAAGCTTATTTTCCTCTGAATCCAGTTTCAGCACAAAGGATCATGATTCACAAGATTGTTAACAGGAATTAAAAATATGTATTTTGTTTGGAGGGGATCCCCTGTTTTCTGAGGAACTGTTTTCTCTAGTATTTATTCCTCTTAGTATATTTTAATGAAAAATTTTACCCTTTTCCTTTCAAAATTGGAAGTGGTATTTTCTAGGGGAGGGTTAAGTGAAACCTGACTCTCGAATACTGAAAGGTCGTTGTTCAATGGAGATGAGTAAAGAAGCCTCATATTTCCTCTATGATTTCTTATGACTCCAAGATGTCAAGAACTTGAGTATTCATTTCTCTTGTTTACTTCGAGCTGAAGCAGACTGTCCGCATGGACATGACTGTGTCATCTTTTATGATCCCCAGGTGCCCAGTTCAGTGCCATGTACCTTCTAGGTTGTAATAACTGTGATTTTCTTGTTGTTGTTGTTGTTCATTTATTTCAGAACAAGTTCTTCCTAGTTTACAGTAACAGAAGATCTGGTAGAAAATGCTGGTAGAAAAAAATTTCAAATGACTGGCAAAACTCATTGAAAAATGTTTGAATGCTAGCTCAACTAACCACTAAGTAGATAAAACTGCATAAAGTTTTATTTATGTAACATACCTACCATGTGCCAATATCTTTCTAGGCTCTGAATATTATCCTTTATCCTCAAGCAACTTATGATCTTTTTGGGGGGAAGGGACGTGGGTGAATCATGGAAGTGACCCTTGGAAATCTGATGCAAAGGTATGAAGCCTAAACAACTCATGTTAGGTAAAAGAACAAAAGTAAAGATCTCTGGGACACTCTCATAGGGATTATTTGATTGCAAAGAATGAAAGCACACTCAGAGGAACTCAAATTTATTAAAAATGTTTATTGTCAGGCTATAGAAGAATCCCAGGGAATCTAGTTGCATTTCAGGAAGTATAGCCAAGCTGTAGCCAATCTGTATATCTCACAGAAGCTCTGTTTCTTCCTAAACATGTGTTCCACTCTCTTCCCTTTTGGAAACTTTTTTTTCTCTGCCGTCTCCCTTTGCTTCCTTTTTGACTCTGGTCTGTATAAGACAGTGAGTTTCCTGGGTTTGGGCTCTGTACATCACTTTATGCCCTCATATATCTTAGAGAGCCAAGTCGCTTGCCTGCATATTTCATGTTTTCTTTCTTTTAAATATGTCTTACTGGCACAGTTTCGTCCAGTCAAGTGTTTGCTGGGTACTACAGCCTTCTTTACGAGTCATGGTCATTTAGATATGCCCACTTCATTCATTGGGAGGCTTCTTTAGAGAAGGGTGTGGGTTGAGCAAATATACCAAAACCTCCTGTACATACTGGCAAGAAATTATGAGAGAAAAAAAATCTAGAAAGTTGTTGGACACCCACATTTCAAAAGACCCCTGAGATTTTTAAACATTACTCCCATGTTTAAAAACATTGCCTAAGTCAAATAAAGTGGCCAAAAATCTGCTTTGGGGAGACTCACCTGTTCTCAGTAGATAAAATGAACTAAAAAGCAGAGAAAGTCAGAAAAAACATAGTTTTATTCATGAAATAGCAGATGAAATTTTAAGGACTTAATAGGGGAAATATGACAAGTGAAATCAGCTGGACCTGAACATTGAATGTGGGAGTGAGAGAAACAGATAGACAAAGGTGGTGCTTTACTTGAGCCTGTGTTTCCCAGAAGGTAGTAGTATCAATAGGAGAAAAATCCAACATAAGAGAGAAGGTTTGTTGAGCAGTTACGAGGGTGTTTTTTTTTTTTTTTTTTTTTTAAGATTCATCCATCCATGCATACAAGAGCAGGGACACAGGCCAGAGGCGTGTGTGTGTGGGGGGGGTGAGGATTCAACAGAGACAGAGTGGGGAACAGAACAGGCAGACTAACTGAAGTACACTGCTGAGGGGAGCAGCGGGCAAATCAGGAGAGGTCTGCTGTGCTATATGGGTTGCCCCCTGGCCAGCCGGGGATTGAATTCATGCTGCAGAGGCTGCGGACAGCTTCACAGACTGTGTCCCAACCCCTTGTGCCACCAGGGAGGAGTTTTGTTTTTTTATATTGAGAAATCATAGGGACATTTATGTGGTGGTCTCTAGCAATTGGCTGATAGATACCCTTGAGGGAAAGAGGAACTGTCATGGTAAAAAGCATCATCTGGAAGGGAGATAGTAGATAGTAGTTTCTGCTTGTGTGTACGTGAGGTGTTTTTATCGTGTGACATTACTTGTACAGGTTGAGATGTTGTGTGTTTATGTCATAGGAATTGAGACTTCACAGATTGTTCATGTTGTTTACTGAAAAATCCTGTGTCTGTTGAAAAGTATTGATAGTGATCTGGGACCTATGACAATAAATCACACATTTGATATTTTTCACTTGCTATGGAACAAAAGTATTACTGATTTTGTGTGGCTAGGCCCTTTTTATTTCTTCACAGCTTAAAAATTTTCAAATTTCAGTTTTTGACTAGAAATACACATGATTTCAAACATCAATCAATACAAAATGCTACACATTAGAAAATCTACCAAGGCATGATAACACTTATTCATGTTTTCTTATGCCTATCTTATAGTACAGTTAAACATGCTAGAAAGAATTCAATAGAGAATCATAAAAGGAATCCAAAAGGTAGAATGGAGAGGGTGGGCTGGGTGGGAACCTCGGGACTTGAGAAAGGATGGTGCAATGATTTCTCTAGGCTTCCATTTTATCTCATGTATATCCTGGTCTGGGTCTGGAGAGTGCCTGCAACCTGGAATCACTAATAAGCAGCCCCCCTGCCACTAAAAATAAAGGGTAGAAGAAAGGGTTGGGGGGAAGGTTTGCTTGCTCTTCTCCAAAGCCCTGGAAAAGGGAAGTCCAGTAAAACTAGTAGAAGCCCAGCAACAGCAGTGGTTTCAGTCCCCCTGCAGATTGTCAGCAGAGCTCATGAGCACTTACCTATTGTCTACTCCATTCCCTGTCACAGTTGTAGGCTTGAGCCACCTACACTGGCAAAACAGAGCTATCCTTTGTCCCCTACAGATGACTGCACCAACAGCACTTATAGGCCTGGTGTTTGCCAGCCTTCTACTCAGTAGCAGAAGGATACGTAAGTCCATTTCCTCCTATTGCCTCCTTTCTAGCAGTAGAAGCCCAGCTAGGTGCTTCCAGCTCCAAGCAGGAGCAGAGATCAAATAGGAAGTCAACTAGCAAGGGGCAATGGGAAAACAGGCCAAAATAAACTCTGTATTCCACAGGTCCAGTGTTATTTAGCTCCCACTTAGTGAAACTACTGGCCCAGGGAAGTGCTTAACCCTTTGCACTCCGCTGTCCCCTCTCAGGGGACATCGGAATTCTAGCATATCACTCGGATGTCCCCTCTCAGGGGACATTGCAATTTATTAGTGATTATGGGGAACTGAGGTTATTTCAGCGCAACTTTCTGAGACATGCATGTTTCCCTGAAGTTTTATCTTGAAATGGCACAAGAAATTAAATCAAAATATCGTAAAATGGTTCGGAGTGCAACGGGTTAAGCCTTACAGGCAGTATTAGCAGGGATTGAGCTGAGGCCCTCATGAAGCCAGAGCACTACAGAAATTCAGTACAAGGGCTCTGGAAACTATAGTCAGAACCTGCATGTTAAATGTAAACAGTTATTACCTGCTAAAGTACAAAATTAGGATTTTAAAGCTGTCATCATAAAGTTGCTTCAACAAGTAATTTGAGTTTTCTTGAAGCAAATCTCAGATCTCAGCAAAGACATAGAAATTAAAAAAAGTACCAAATAGAATTTATAGATAGGAAAGCTATGACAGTGAAAATTAAAAATGCTTCTGGTGGACTCAGTAAATTGGATATAGCAGAGACTAGGATTGGTGAATTTGAGGACAGGTTAATAGAATTAGAATCTATTCAGTCTGAACAACAGAGAGAAAACAGACTTAAAAATATATAGATCCTTAGAGATCTATACATAGAAAAATAACAGAGTTCTAACATTTGTATTATTGGAATCCTAGGAGCTGAGGAAGAATGTGAGGCTGAGCAGTTATTCAATTAAATGAATCTAAAAGCTTCCCAAATTTGTCAAAAGACATAAATCTACAGATTCAAGAAACTGAATGAACCTCAAATAGGAAAACTCCACACCAAGACATATAATCAAACTTTCGTAAGCTAAAGGCAAAGAAAAATATTTTGCAACAAGAGAGAAGTGATGCATTAGTTTTTGGGGAGTAGCAATTCAAATGACATTATGTTTCTTGTTAGAAACCATGGTGGGAGGGCCTCCCCCGTGGTGCAGAGGTTGAGCGCTGGGTTGCGAAGCTGCCTGCAGCCTCCAGCCTCCGCAGCGCAGGTTCGATCCCCGGCTGCTCCCCGGCCACCTGAGGAGGGTCCCACGTGGCGTGCAGACCTCTCTTGCTGCCCGCTGCTCCCCTCAGCAGTGTACTTCGGTCCTTCTGCCTGCTCTGCTCCCTGCTCTGGCTCTGGTGAATTCTCTCACCCTCCCGTGCTTCTGACTGTACCCAGTGCATGTATAAACAAAGCAAATAAAAAAACATGCCTCTATTAAAAAAAAAAAATTTAAAAAAAAAAGAAACCATGGTGGGGATCGCTTCTCAGCCTTTTGACTAAGACACAGTGGCACATTTTAAAATTGCTAAAAGAACTGTCTACTGCAAATTCTATCTCTGGTAAAGCCATTCTTTGGGAATAAAAGGGATAAGAGGGAAATCATTCTTAGAGGGAAAAAAATTAAGAGAATTTATTGATAGAAGATCTACCTTTAGAAAATGGCTAAAGAAAACTCTTCAAAAAAGATAATGACAACAGAAGGAAACTTGGAATTTTGGAAATAAATGAACAAGAGAATTGTTAAAATAGGTTTAAATATATAATAGACTATCCTCATGAATTCTTAAAATCATATTTGATATTGAAGGGAAAAAATAACACCATCTAACAGGGTGCTGAGTGTATGAACAGGAAATGTTTAACACATATTTAGAAAGTGGGGAGGTAAAAAATCCTCAGTGAAAGTAAGTTTTTAGTAATTCACTCAAAGTAGTAACACATTAATGCCAGTAGGCTTGTATGTATGCTGTAATACCTAAAGCAACCACTAAGAAAACAATGCAAAGCAGTCTACTCAAAAACATACGAAAAGCAAAGTGGAATTTCAAAATTGTTCAAGTAAACCATAGAAAGGCAAGAGAAGGGCCTCCCCGGTGGCGCAGTGGTTGAGCGCTGGGTTGCGAAGCTGCCCGCAGCCTCTGCGGCGCGGGTTCGATCCCCGGCTGCTTCCCGGCCACTGGAGGAGGGTCCCACGTGGCGCGCAGACCTCTCCTGCTGCCTGCTGCTCCCCTCAGCAGTGTACTTCGGTCCTTCTGCCTGCTCTGCTCCCCGCTCTGGCTCGGGTGAATTCTCTCGCCCTCCCGCGCTTCTGACTGTACCCAGTGCTTGTATAAATAAATAAATAAATAAACAAACAAATAAATAAATAATCTTTTTTAAAAAAAAAAAAGAAAGGCAAGAGAAACAGAGGGAACAAATGAAAACAAAAACAAATAATAAAATTACAGACATAAGCCCTATCATTCAATAATTACTTTACATGCAAATAGTTCTAATACTACAATTAAAAGACAGAATTGGAATAGTACATTTTTAAAAAGTGACCCAAGTATATTCTGCTAGAAAAAAAGCAAGTTAAACATAGGATGTAGGTAGGTTGACTGTAATAAATTAGAAAAGATACATTAATTTTTAAAAAAGTAGCTGTATAATATCAGACAAAATGGACTTAAGAGCAAAGAAAAATCTGTCCACCAAAGCACAGGAATTTTGTTGACTATGTGCCAAAAACCCACAGAATTTCAAAATACATGAAACAAAAACATAGAACTGGAAGGAAGAATAGACAAGTTCATAATTATAGTTGGGAACTTCTGTATCCTGTTCTATAGACCTATTGACAGATTATCAGTAAAGGAATTTAACAATACCATCAAACAACATGGTCCAATTGACATTTACAGAAATTCCACCCAAGAGAAGCAATATACACCTTCTTTTTAAGCGCTTGTGAAACATTTACAAAAACTGGTCTTGATTCATAAAACAAAGTTAAGTAACCTTAAAAAAGAGAGAAATCATACATTATAGTCTGACCATAATGGAATGAAATAAGAAAGTAATATCGGAAAGACAACAGAAAATTCTTCTAATACTTGAAAACTAAACAGCACACTCCTAAGTAATCAGTCACAGAAATTCTCAGAGGAAATTTTAAAAATAAAGTGAGGTGCAGGGGTTAAGTCTCAGTGCTATCATGCTGTTGCTGCTGTGGCGTGAATTCAATCCCCACACAGGGAGCTGACCCACATTTGTGTAGCAGACCTCTCCTGTCTAGCCCTCTGCTCCCCTTAGCAGTCGGTATTTCAGTAGATCCATCTGTTCTGCTCCCCACTCTGTCTCTGGTGAATCCTCTCACCTGCTGCTCTTCTGGCCTAGACTCGAGTTCTTACATGCATAAAGAGATAAAAATATCTTTAAAAAATACAGTGAACTGAATGAAGATGAAAAAGCATATCAAAATTTGTGAAATGCAGCTACAACAGAAACAACTAAAATGTCTTATTAAGGGGTGGTGCTTAAATCATGTTTTTATCATGGACTGCTTAGCAATATAATATTCTGAGATAATATTATAGAAATAGTATTTTGCCAGAGATTTAGGAATTGGAAAGGGTAGTCTATAAAAAGGTAAAGTGAGGGGCCCCTGTGATGATGGAACAGTTATGTGCCTTGTTAGTAGTGGTTACATAAAGTTACACATATGATAAAATTGTATAGAAACTGCAATATGCATGTGTGCACACAAATAATTGAGTGAATGTAAAAGTGGAAGTATCTGAATAAGCTCTGTGGATGGTACCGATCTCAGTTTCCTGATTTTTTTTTTTTTTTTTTTGTGGGACCCTTGCCGGTGGCCGGGGAATGAACCGGTGCTGCAGAGGCTGCGGGCAGCCTCGCAGCCCAGCGCCCAACCGCTGCACCACCAGGAAAGGCCCTCAGTTTCCTGGTTTTGATGAGGCACTATAGTTAGGCAGGATATCAGCACTGGGGAAGGCTGGCTGAAAGGTACACATGATCTACTTTCCTGTAGATTTCTTTGCAACTTCCTTTAAATCTGCTGAGGCGAGAGGTCTGCCGCTCCATGTGGGAATCTCCCTGGCTGGCCGGGAATCAAACCCACGCTGCAGAGGCTGTGAACTACTTCACATCTGGGGAGGCCCTGTTGTTGTTTGTTTTAAATGCATGTACAAGTGTATTTGTAATGGAAATGTATCCTCCATCTCCACCAACCCTTAATCCCTTTTCTGGGCCAGCTGTTTCACATTTTATGTCCTGGTCCTAAAGATGTTTCTATATCATACATAAAAGAATTGTTTCATGCTTCATTTTACTTTTCAGATTCAGATATTTGCTATTTTTGCCATAATGCTTTGACCAATTTTCTATTAACTGACTTCTAGTTTGTTTCAGTCCTTTGCTTTTAGAAACAATGTTTTGATGAGAGATCTTGCATATTTACTATTTTATGGTTGTGCAAGTACATCTTAAAGATAGATTTCTAGACATTCTATTTCTGGATTATAGTTTATCTGCATGTGTAATTTTCAGAGACACCACCTGACTGCCCTGCATATGGGTTGTACCATTGCACACGTTACTTAGTGGTGTGTTTCCTCATGTTGTTCCCAACAAATGTTTTTATTTTCCAACAGATTTTTTTTTAATTTTAGGATTTTTGACAATGTTAGGTTAAAAATGGCATCTCAGTGTGGTTTTAATTTTCATTTCTCTTGTACTTAAGATTAGATATCTTTTCAGATTTTCAAAAAGTGACTTTTGATTCTTTTTCTGTAAGCTGTGTTTGTATTCTTTCTTTTTTTTTTTTTTAAAGGTACAGCAAGGATGTTTGCATGCATTTCTTTTTTTTTTTTAAATAAATTTTATTTTTATATTCCCCATACAATTGCACCCCCCTTATTTTGACCCCAATCCCTCCCCTCCCTGCCCCCCACCCCCCACAGAGTGTCTCTGGTTCATAGTTTTTTGTTGATTTTGATTTTTACTTTCTTATAGTTATTCATTTTCCTGGTCCCTTATTTAAGTTTTCTAGATTCCTGCTATGAGTGAGACCATCCGGTATTTTTCTTTTTCTTTCTGGCTTATTTCGCTGAGCATGATCCCTTCCAGCGCCATCCATGTTGCTGCAACTTGCATGTGTTTCTCTTTTTTGAATGCTGAGTAATATTCCATGGTGTATATGTATGTGTTTGTATTCTTTTGACCATTTTTGTAGAGAGTTGTTGGCATTTTTGGGAGCTATTGATTTGTATGAGTAATTTATATAATAAATTCTTTGTCTTTGATGTGAGGTTCATTTATCTTTGGGTTACTTTTTTATCTCACCATGTTAAAGTTTTTTATTTTCCTTTAATCCAACTTATCTTATGGGTTTTATGCCAGTTAGGTCTGTCCCACAACCAGATTATAAATTTCTTGGTGTTTTTTCTGTTGAAATTAGGAGTAACTTCCCTACAATGGTTCTGCTAGGTGTAGCCTTAGGCAGCAGATTTCTGGACCTGGGTCTGATTTCACGGGTCTCCTCCGCCCTGCTGGAAATCTGGGTCACTGCTGGAACCTAGATCAAGTTAATCTCACATCCTCCATAAAGTAATTCTTTATGGGGAAAGGAAGTAAGGGGAGGATATTGGATGATCTTCTGGCTCTTATCCCATCTCTCAGCAACCTTTATTCCAAGAGATAAACTCTAGTAGAAAAGGTTTTTGTTGCCTGCATGCTGCAGGAGGTAGTGGTTGGGTGACAGACCCCTATGCTGGTCTCCAGGGAAGGAAAACCAAACTTGAAGGGCCATTTCCTTCCATTGATCATTTGTGCAAATCCCACTTAGCTTACATTGCTTCTCCACAGGGACAAGCTGTAACTAGAATCTTTTGAATCTAAAACTGTGCTCCCTCACAGTGAGGGGAACTTGGGAGTCTTCTTCACATTTCAGCAGCAGAGTTCTGTGATTTGTTTTCAGAACTAAGTGCTAGTTAGTAGTCTGTTTCTCCTAAGACTTACATTTTCAAAATGGGTGTGAAAAATACTTATTTAGAATAATTTCTTTCCACTTAGGAATAGCCAAGCCAGAAGAAGGACGACCTGCTCTGAGTGTGACCGGAAATGACATCACCGCCCCTCCAAACAAGGAGCTCCCACCAAGTCCAGAAAAGAAAACAAAGGTAGGTGCCAGAATGGTAGGTTAGTTTCAATAGCTATAGTATACTTGTTTGTTTTTTTTTTAAACAGTATCTTTTGCTTGAATTATGAATGAAATTTCTTTCTTCTGAACTGTTACGAGCTTGGATGTGCTTAGAAAATATTTTATATTTCCATTTACTAGAGTGTTCTAACTCAAACCTTAAAATTTCTGCATTTAACCGTATCTATATCTGTAGAGGTTGTTTCTGTTTTCCTTAACAAGACTAACAAATGAATAACAGAACTGTTCTGAAATAGACTCTGGCACCCTCCCTGTGTCTTCAAAAGGGAACACAGATTTTTAAGATGGATCATAGCTTCAGGTACTTTGTTGGTACTTATTACAAAATTCAAATGCCATAGTTAAGTGTGTTTAAAACAGGATGCCGGCCCTCCCTGGTGCTGCAGGGGATAAATCTCAGCACTATCAAGCTATCGCCAGCCACTGTGGTGATACATGTTCTAAATAACTTAATCACTGGATGATGTCTTGCTTCATGGAATACTGCAGCCTCTGGTAGTTAGTTGTTTAAAACTGTTACTAAATTTAAATCTTTAGGTATTGAACTACTGAAATTTACAACACTGTTATTAAGAAACAATTTTCTAACCTTGTTTCGTATTCACTGTTTACTGAGCTCAGAAGAAAGGAATGCTAACTTTTAGTTGCATCTATCCTCATTGCTTATAATTTTATTTGAATTGTGCAATTTATACTTTTTTTTAAATTTGTTTTTATTCTTGTCTGTGTGTTTGATGTTGACCTTTAAAAAAAACCCCACAACAAATCAACTTAAAGCTTTTGGCCACCAGTCAACCTGCAAAGACTTCAACATCGAAAGCCAAAATACAGTCCACTTCTCTCCCTAAGCAACCAGCTCCCACCACCTTTGGTGGGTCGAATAAAAAACCCATGAGCCTTGCTTCAGGCTTAGTACCAGCTGCCCCACCCAAACGCCCTGCTGCCACCACTACCAGGTCTTCCATCTTACCTTCAAAAGACGTGAAGCCCAAGGTAAGTAGTCATCCAAGCACTGTCCAAAAAATTTTGCCCTATGAATGTCAGATAGACAATCTCTTATTGCTTCTAGACAATGGGATCAGGCTGTTAGAATTCAGGAAGGAAAGAGAAAAGGAGAATATTGATTTGAGAATCAGTTTGGGGACCCAGTGATGCTGCTATAACATTTAAAGGCCTTTTATACTTTCTGTACAAAATGTTGGATGCAATATTAGATCTACTTTAGTTTCTTCTCCTTTCCTTATTCTCCTTGCTCTTTACCTTTTTAAACATGTGTTAACCAAGTCCCCTTAATCCACATACTTGTGAGACACTCATTTTTAACATAATTTCCATTTCAAATTTCTGATTAAATCCAGTTCTTTGTCTTTAATCACTCTTTAGAAATTCATTTTAGGCCTCCCTGGTGGCACAAGGGTTAAGACACAGCCTATGGAGCTGTCCAAAGCCTCTTCAGCAGAAGTTCGATCCCTGGTCTGCCAGGGTGCAACAGACATGGCCCGGCAGACCTCTCCTGGCTCGTCCGCTGCTCCCCTCAGCAGTGTGCTTCAGTCAGTCTGCCTGTTCTGTTCCCCACTGTCTCTGGTGAATCCTCTCACCCGCCCGCACCTCTGGCCTGTACCACAGCTCTTGTATGCACAAATAAATAAATCTTAAAAAAAAAAAAAAAGAAATTAATTTTACCTGTTACTTTTATTTTTTTGTTAAAGATTTATTTATTTTTGCATACAAGAACTGGGGCACAGGCCAGAGGTGTGAGGGGTAAGAGGATTCACCAGAGACAGAGTGGGGAGCAGAACAGGTGGATGTACTAAAATACACTGCTGAGGGAGCAGCAGGCGAGACGGGAGATGTCTGCTGCACCACGTGGGTAGCTCCCTGGCTGGGGATGGAACTCGTGCTACAGTGGCTGTGGATAGCTTCATAGGTTGCATCTTAACCCCTTGTGCCACCAGAGAGGCCCTCTGTTAGTTTTAGATAGACTTTTGTGATCAACTCTTTTAGCTCATTTCAGCAGGTTTCAGCATCACATGATAGCTAACTTTGCTTTTGGCATTAGGCCACCTCTCACTGGGCTCCCTTTTGAAATTTTTCAGTTTTCCAGGTCATCCACACATTACTGCCTAGAAACTGGTCAATTTAGGGCAGCATTAGCTTTACAGGATTGTTCTAGGAGGAGAGGGTGAAATCTGTTTCTGTCTTCCATAATCTCTTGTTTTGTTCTTTTTTTTTTTTTGAGAAGGACCTTTAGGGCAACCTGATAATATTAATATTCTTTAAATTCACAGTGGGAAATAGTTTCTTTCCCATGTTAAAATGTCAGTATTTTAGTTTAATCTTGTAAAGGAAACTGGGACTTGCAATCTAGGTTGAAACCCTCATCAAGAAACTGAGCAATCCTGTCAATGATAAAATTTCATAAAGCTGTATGAACCCAGTTGACTGTTTTTCTTTTCTTTTTTAAATTTTTTAAAATTTATTTATGCATACAAGAACTGGGGTACAGGCCAGAGGTGTGGGGGTGAGAGGATTCACCAGAGACAGAGTGGGGAGCAGAACAGGCAGATTGACTGAAACACACTGCTGAGGGGAGCAGCAGGCAAGTCAGGAGAGGTCTGCTGCGCCACGTGGATAGCTCCCTGGCTGGGGATCGAACTTGCACTGCAGAGGCTGCAGACAGCTTCACAGTGTTACGCTCAATGCCTTGTGCCACCAGGGAGGCCCAGTCTAACTTATTTTACCATTATTACTCTTACTAGCAAAGTACGAAGATACCTCACTCACTGGATTATTCTGTCATAGACATAGTATTGAAAATTTGAAGGAAACTCAGAGATGATTTGGTTTAGCCCCTCACGTTTTAGAGCAAACAGAGAGGAAATTCCTCTGCACAAAATCCTATAAGTTCCAGCTGGTAACTAAACCAATTCCTCTAACTTCAGCTTTAGGGCTCTTCACACCCATGCTTAGGGCCTTCATTTGTAGAATAATTGTTACCCTGCACTTGCAGGGTTAGATTTTGTTTAATTGGATGCCAGCCCTTAATTTTTTGAGCACCTCCTTAGCTGATTGGCTATTTTTCTTGTAATAAAAGGGCTGGGTCTGCTGTGTCTTGGTTTGGCTTTCCCTCATGAGTAACATGTTGTGTTTGCTGTTAAAATAATACGTTTATGCCATATTCCTATAGAAACCAGGCTAAATTGATTCCCTCCCTTTCTCGACAGCGACATGACCATTCTCTATGGGAGAGGAACTAGCATGACTCAGATGCCGTGTAGTAGAGACTTCTCCCTTTTGTTTCCAGTCGTAGTGGTGACATTAGTGCTTTGTAGTCCCTCTGTTGGTCAGCCTGCGCCCACTGCCTGCCCCTTCTCGTCACATCTGCTCTCAGAGACTTCTCTTCCTCTGTTTCCGAACATCAGATATTGTAAAAGCTGGATCTTAGATATCTCCTGTTCCAACCTCCTTCATTATCCAGATGAGGAATTAAGGCTCAGAGAGGTTCGGTGATTTGTCCAAAAACATACAGTGAGTTAGGGAGGGTACTGGAGCTCGAACTCAATTCTGACCTGACATTCTGCCAGTGTTGTCTTCATCTGTATCCCTGTTTTATTCAGCATTCATTGGGTATATCTTAACCAAAAGAATGAATCTGTCTGAACATCAAACGTTATGTTTTTATGTATTTAACCTTTAGTTGAGTATTTAATACATCGATTATAGCAGTATTTAATACAGTAGATCCTGATGCAGACATCTTTCTGATAGGATATACTTTTTTAGGGCTATTGATTTTTCACTGGGGTTGATATAGTTTGACAGGCCCCATTTCCTAACCTAGATCATCCAGCAGCCTACATGGCTAATTTCTCATTATCTGGAGGACTCTGATCTTAGAGCCATAGATATTTTCCTGTCAGCTGCTGGCCTCTTCAGTACCCACATTTTCTGGTATATGCTTGTATGCAACCATCCTTTGATTTGACTTTCTGGGGCTAGTGCTGAGCTGAAGCTCTTACTCCCACTTTCCTCTTATCAGCCTGTCACAGAGGCAAAGATTCCTGACAAACGGGTCTCACCATCCAAGCCAGCCTCTGCCCCCGCCCTCAGACCTGGCTCTAAGAGCACTCAGACTGGTCCAAAAGTCACAACATCTGCCACTCTTACCTCAACTGGGCCAAGCAGTCGGAGCCCCCCCATAGCCCCTTCCAAGAGGCCCACTGGTGAGTATTGCCATCTTTCCCCTATGGGAGCCAGTGAGGAGGAGAGTAGAACCTGGGCTTTGCCCAAGGTGCAGCCCTGCTTATGCACCAGTGCTTAATGTGTTAAATGCTGGCAACTTTGATTTCCATGTGAGGTTAGATATGTATATTCAGAAGAATCTTGAGTGAAGGGGATTTTCATGAATTCCTATATAGAATTTACTACTGTTTTTTAAATGACCCCACAGCACCTAGTACATTGTGGTCATGGTCTTGGGGCACAAGAAATGATCCATTTGATTCTGTGGGCATGCAGTGATAACTTGGTCCTAAGGCCCTGTGGAAGGCCGTTCAAGACTGTAGAAAAGAATGAAATGTAGTGCCTGGCCTTGTGCACTGCATAAGGACATGGTCTTTACATGGCTGTCTAATTGACTACCCTGTTCCCAGATACTAGCACAATCCCTAGCTCACAGGGGACATTCAGTAATTGTTGAATGAATGACCAAATCTCAGTGTTGGATGAGCTGTTTCCAGTCAGCTTGTTAGACATAATGTTAAGAAATGTATGTTTGTGCAGCTGTCAAGACTGAGGGAAAACCTGCAGACATCAAGAAGATGGCTACAAAGCCTGTACCAGGTAATAACCCACCTCCCACTGTATAGAACCCCAATTTAAACTTCCATGACTTTCCAGCTCCCTTTTGCTCTCTCCCCTGAATGCTTGTAATCTCTCACTCCTACCTTTGCAGCTGACTTGAGTCGCTCAAGGAGCACCTCTGCCATTTCTGTGAAGAAAAACACCACTGTCCCTGGGGCAGCGTCCCCAGCTGGGGCGGCTCCCAGTCGAATCAAGTCCACACCCACACCTCCCCGGCCTTCTGTGACGCCTTCTGTAGAGAAGAAGCCCACATCAGCCAAGTCCAGCTCCTCTGCTCCCAGGCTGAGCCGCCTGACTACCAATGCTTCTGCCCCTGATCTGAAAAATGTCCGCTCTAAGGTTGGCTCCACGGAAAACATCAAGCATCAGCCTGGAGGAGGCCGGGTGGGTCCAGGGAACTTGGGATTTTTGGCATGCTGTCCCCTGCTTCTTCCCCTACCACATCTAACTACTGTGCCCCAGGCATGCCGCAGGCATGTCCTGGTCCTCTCGGGGGCCACTGGAGGGTCAGGGAATTTCAGCCTGGGTTCCACAACCCAGGAGTACAGAAGGAAAGTGCTGAACCCTGGGTTTTCTCTTTGTATCTCAGTCGAGTTCCTGGTTTTTCATGGTTCTTAATACCCTGCATTGTACCTTGAGCATCAGGACAACCAGAAGGTGGAGCATCTCTTCATTCCCCAAGCCGTTACTTGGCTGGAGAGTCTCCAAAAGAGGACTATAGTGTCCTCTTGTGGCCAAGATGACTTGCTGCGAGCCTCTTCCTTTCCTAAAAAAAGGACTGCAGTAGAGTGGCATGATGGAGAAAGGCAGGATGGCAGACTGCGCTTCACTTTTAAGGATTTTCTGGTTGCACCCATCTGGATTTACTTATTAACCATTAGTAACCAGGGGGTTTGATGTGTGGAAAAAGTAGTGGCAAAAGTCCATCTGAGAATGTTCATCATCTGTGTCATTCACTAGTATTTAAGCCACCCCACCCACATGCAGGGAAAGATACTTAAATTACCTCAATCCAGAGCTATTAAACAAATGAAGAGGGTACAATAATGAGACAGAATCCTGGTGCTTTTGGAGGACACTGGCAACAAACTAGGGTTAGTCTGGGACAAGGACCTAAGAGTTGCTTTTAGTAAGAGGCTGTGGCTCTGCCCTCCCCGCCAGGCCACTGGGGCTGTGATGCTGATAGCCCATCTCCCCTTTCTGTGCTCCACTTACACTTTCAGGGTACAAAAGTTACAGGAGGTCTTGGTGGAGAGTTGAGTGACTCAATCTGATGTTTCAATTGTTTTCTGTTCCAACATGCCTGGAGGCTGTGTGACACATTCCATCATCAGTAGTGGCTCCCTGTGACCATGGCTGCTTGCTTGGGGCACCAGAACATTTGAGTGGGAGAACATTATGATTTGAAATTGATAATAACCCCAATACACACTCAGAAGAGAATCACTAATTTGGTCTTCTTAGCCAAATTAGCCAGATCTTCTCTGCAGATGGTATCTTGACCCCTTCTCATATCTCAGGACTTCAGTCTGCAGCTTCTCTTTTTCTTTCTTGCCCCCCACTCTCCACCCCTGGGAATGGGTGTTTTTTTCCTAGATGCTGTGGTGACCTGCTTCTGCCTGGTAGCCTGGTCTGGATTCGAGACCCCTGCATTCGAGTCCCTTCTTTGGCATTTGGGCTCTTATCCTCTCTTTGTTTGAAATTTGCCCTCCCTTTATCTCCATCCAGGCCAAAGTAGAGAAAAAAACAGAGGCAGCTGCCACAGCTCGAAAGCCTGAACCTAATGCTGTCACTAAATCAGCCGGCCCAATTGTGAGTGCGCAGAAACCGACTGCTGGGAAAGTGAGTTTTTATTTAGACTTTTACCTCTTGAAGGTAAAAGATAAACTATTTCTTCCAGCCTGAGTCACTTTCCCTTCTATTGTACTTTTTTCCTCTTCTTAACTAGTTTCTACTTCTCCCCCATGTTCCCTCCTCTGTGTTTGATGACTCAGCCTTTAGAAACTTTTTTATATTAACCCTGATAGTTAATGGAGTTGGGAACCCAGTGGCCCTTTTGGGGATATTAACTCAGCTGGATAAAATGGATCTAAAAGCTTTCAGTCACTTCCTTCACACAGATCTTGGTCTGGAACCAAGGCACACAAATACACACACAATCTGACTCTTGCCCAGTAATCGCAGCACTGGCAATCTTCCAGCACCTGCCAAAGACTTTGTGCTTTACAGTGAACTAGAAGACCCCTCTTATATCACTTTTTGGTATGGAGATAGCTTCATTTGTCCTGTTACCAAAACACCTCTTAACTGAAAGTTAGAGCGCTCATTACCAACAGAAGCTCACTCAGCCTAAGAGTTGCAGCATCAACTGGAGGGCAAAAGGTAAGCTGAAATTCTAGGTTCTTTCCCTTTTCCTCCACACCCTGAAGTTAGGCCTCCTCTGCTTGCAGTGGGAACCTTCTTCCCTTAGCTATGGCAGGTATGTGACCTCTGTGGCTAAGGGCTGCTGGAGAAGCAGGGCAGGAGGTGTCAGCCTAAAGATACTATTGTATGATTGCAGGTGAAGTCTGCATGTGGCTTCTGGAGGACTCCTAGAGCTCCACTAGGTCTCGTCTCTGCTTCATTAGGAAGTGGTTTGCTAACTGATTATTCACCAGTGAAGTTGTAAAGAAGGCAAGAAATGGTGATATATGGGTTGGCGTTTGTCAGGGTATAGTGCTCTGCTCTGTGGAGAACTCTCCATTTTGAGTACTGTGTCCTTTGTGAAGGTCACTGAAGTTAAAGAAGGAATGAAGCTGGCAACTATTCCTTCTTAAGACGGCCACAAAAGAATTCTTGTGCCTTGGTGTGACCCCACTCCCGGGGTGCCATTTGTATAGAGTAAGAAGGTGCTGATGGCGCCCAGAATGTGCATCATTGCAGCCTAAAGACTATTCTCCTTGAACATGAAACTTACCAGGGCATAGGTTTGGGCATCTGGAGGACTGAAGAAGGTGTTTCACTGTGGACCTACACTTCAAATATACTGTAATTTCTCAAACTCTGGGCTATGTGTGGAAGTGTGGGAGCTGTTAGAGGGGTGTCTTTGGAGGCTGTTGCCTGTACTTCTGCTGGTATCTGAGATTCTGCATGGCAGGTCCAGTAGCCTCTGATCCACTTGCAGTTATAACTAATCAATGTCCCTTCCTTCCTGTTAATTAATACCAGATCTGTGCCCCTTTAGCCAACTGCTCAGTGCCTTCCTGAACAGCTTTTGCCTCCCGGGTGGGTCTAGCCACAGTATTTCTGCCCCAAATTTAAGGAGGGTCATCCTTGGGTGAGGTCTGTTCCTGATAAACTAGATCCTTGCAGACAGAAGCCATAGGATGCTGAGATCTATCTAGTTTCTGGGGAGAGAGAAGGGCGGGGAGTGGGGCCACCTGATGGGCTTCATGGGTCTGCTACTATTTGGGCCTGTGAATCACAACCCAGTCCCCAAGGAGCATAGATGATCACCATGTAGCACTTTTACAGCATCTGTGTGTGTCCCTGTGTTATTTGTTCATGTTTTCACTCCTTTTTCTGCTCCTCCAAACTCCTTCCACTTTACTTTTCACTGCTGTTCTGCTGAAAATGGGGGCGAGTTTTAACAACAATCTTTGTTGGTCATTGTGATCATGTGTAGACTCACAGCATGCACTGTGTTGGTTCTAACCAACCCTCTCCTGTTGTGTTGTTTTTTCTGTTCTCTAACACTCCAGGTCCAGATAGTCTCCAAAAAAGTGAGCTACAGCCATATTCAGTCCAAGTGTGGTTCCAAGGACAATATTAAGCATGTCCCTGGAGGTGGTAATGTAAGTATAAGCTCTGGACAGCTGGCATCTGAGGCACAGCCTACTGTGGGGCACACTGGGGCAAGGGCTACCTGCCGGCACTGACAAGGACATGTCAGCCTGGCCAGGGCTTTCTCCAAGAAGCAGTTTAGCAGAACAAGGGGAAATGTGATACTCAGATGTGCTTAGGTCAAGTGTTTGTGGTGAGTCTCTAAAAAACCTGGAGGGGTTCCCACTTGTGGGTAGAAGGCCTTGGATTATCCTCCCGCTGTGCCAGAAACCTAGACTCAGGGCTACAGTCAGCAGCAGGCCTTTTGCCTGAGTCAGCTTCTGGGGATGCACACCTGTATGCCTGGGGTACAGATAATATTGCAGTGGCCCCAATCCTCAAATCTTTGTTATTGCAGAAATGGAATTACTAATTTTCCTCTTATCCCTTCTCTGCTTGTCCCTTTATCTTTGTTTTCTCTCCTTTCTTCTTCCTTCTTCTATTCTTTTCTCTCCCTACTTTCATCTTCCTCCTTCCCTTCTGTTTCTTCTCTCATTTTTTCTTTTTCTAATCCCTTCTTCCTTTTATTTCCTTTCCCTCTTTTTCTTTCTGTCTCCTTTCCTCTTCCATCCACACATCTTTTTCTCATGTTCCTGTGCTAAGCCTAGAATCTGTGTTGGGATCACAGTGACTCCAATTCACAGCAATTCCTGATGTAAGGAGAAACAGGCAAAGTGTCCTTGTCAATTAGTGTGTAAAGAATACCTTTCCAGTACCTCTCCTGCCTGCCTGTGACTATGCAGGTGCCTCTTTTTTTCTTTCTACTTTTGCTAATAAACCTGTTCTTTAAAAAAAAGGTAAAAAGCAAAACAGAACAAAACAAAAAACCAAAAAAACCCGTCTCCAGTATGTGCCAGGAGTGTTGTGGAGCATCTACATGCAGCCTCGGCCCCTCCTGCTTCTCCACCTCCTACACCAGAATGGGAGCCCAGCCTGTCTTGGTCTCTTCTGAGTTTATTGGCTTCTTTTTTCTTACTGTCCTGCTCTGGACTAAGTCCTGCTCTATTCAACCTTTTTATTTTCAGTCTCTGTCTCTCCTGTCACCTTCGTGGTTATGCCATCCTTCCCATGGCCTAAAAACACTCCCCACTCTCTTGTGAGGAGTGCAAACATAGACCATTCCTTTCTGGTTCTACACAACTCCCCCTCACTGCACTTCCTTCCTAGTTATTTTCCCTCTAGTGGCTCTTCTTAGCAAGGACAGAAACCATTTCATTTTCATTCTGGTAGAGTGTGTTAGGCCAGCCTGGTAGTTGGCTGCACATTAACCATCCTGGTGTAGGATCAGCTGAAGTGGGTGAAGCTCTTTTTTTTTTTTTTTTAAGATTTATTTATGCATACAAGAACTGGGGTATAGGCCCGAGGTGCGGGGATGAGAGGATTCACCAGTGACAGAGTGGGGAACAGAATAGGTGGGATGACTGAAAAACATTGCTGAGGGAAGCAGCAGGCGAGACAGGAGAGGTCTGCTATGCCATCTGGGTTAGCTCCCTGGCCAGGGCTCAAACTCGTGTTGCAGTGGCTTGGCTGCCTATAGCTTGATAGTGTACCAGGGAGGCCCTGAAATGGGTGAAGTCTTGAAGGCAGTATCTAGTTGGATAATAAGATATAGCCTGTTAGGGACCCAGGAAGACACTGGCCATAGCTTTCCCTCTCAGGTATTTGGCCTGGGCATAAATAGGTGAACAGGGAATCTAAGGGAACAGGGGTGTGCACCTACAAGTGTGTATGTTAAAAAAATTTATTTACGTATGTTGTACTGTGTATGTAAGAGCTCTGAAATACTCATCATTTATTACATACTGTGGTCTTCCCATGCTGCCTACACATGACTTCAAAACAGACTTTTACAGAGGAATGTACTTTTTAAGAAGCATTTCGGGCCTCCCTGATGGCGCAGGCAGTCAGGCGCAGCGCTGTGAAGCTGTCCGCAGCCTCAGTGCCAGTTCGATCCCCGCCGGCCGTGGAGATGCCCACATGGCGAGGCAGACCTCTCCTGTCTCGTCCGCTGCTCCCCTCAGCAGTGTATTTCAGTCCATCTGCCTGTTCTGTTCCCCACTCTGTCTCTGGTGAATCCTCTCAACCTCCTGCACATCTGGCCTGTACCCTGGTTCTTGTATAAATAAATAAATCTTTTAAAAAAATAATAAAAAGCATTTCATTTTAGGCTGCTCCCTTAAGCAGCAAAGCCTTCGGAAACCAACCAGAAACAATGTTTTTAGGTGGGATCAACAGCCTACTTAGGTGTTGTATTTCCTCCCATCAGCCCTTTAAAATTCCTTGCAAATAAACATGCAGTTTAAAAACAGTGGGCCCTCTTTCCAGGCTGAAGAGCGTTACAATTTAAACCCCATCCCTTTTTCCAAATACTCCCCTTCCACCCCACATGGAAATTCTATCTTAAGGGGCTTGGAGCAGAATCCCAGCTAGTGTTCCACAACACCCCATGTACATATAAACATACCCTTGATGAGAACCAAGCAGACATCAGGGTAGGGAATAGGTCTACTTCCATGACTGGTCCCAATTTTAAATTTTACAGTTGTTTTAGTTCCACTGTATCCTTGTGAAAGGGGATATCACATGTATGTGTGATGGGATCTAAGACCTGTGGGCAGTATCATTTCAATAGCATTTATTGATATCTGCAGTTCACCCTCAGGTCTTTTTTTTTTTTTTAATAGAAGTAACATTGCATTACAACACTATATAAGTTCCAGGTGTACATCACTGAGAAGCAACATGTACATATACAGCATTCAGTTCACTGCTAAAAGTCCAATTCAAACCTTTACCATACCGTTGTTCCCTTTGTCCCAATTTACCCACCTTCCTTCTCCCCTTCCCTTCTGGTAACCACTAATTGGTCTTTTTTTAAAAAAAAAAATAAAAGATTTATTTATCATACAAGAACTGGGGTACAGGCCAGAAGTGTGGGGGATGAGAAGATTCAGCAGAGACATAGTGGGGAGCATAACAGGCAGACTGACTGAAATACACTGCTGAGGGGAGCAGCAGCCAACTCAGGAGTGGTCTGCTGCACCATGTGGGTAGCTCCCTGGCCAGGGATCAGATTCGTGCTGTGGTGGCTGTGGATAGCTTCATAGTGCTGCATCTTATCCCCTTGCACCACCAGGGAGGCTCCCACTAATTGGTCTTATAATAAAAATCAGATTTGATTTTGTTTGCCACATGTTAGCAAGTCTTTGATAGGTGGTGGATAGTTTCTGGCTGGAGACCTGTGACTTCCTTGCTGGAGACATGTGTCTTCCTTCTGGTCATTCTTCTTTTTGTGATACTTGTAGCTGCTGATGCTCAGCAGCCACTGTTGGTTAGGGAATAGCATGTGGACAGAGTTCTTAGAAGCAAGAGTGAGGATGACTTAGGCAAGCAGATAATTATAAGAAGTTACTCTGCTAGGCAAGGTCCTAGAAGGTAGCCACTGATGGAAAGGAAGCATGGAAGCATTAGGTGGCATACCATGCAAATGGCTAGCAGCCCATAAAAATAACCAAAGCAACCAAAGGGAAGCATTTTTCACCTGAAAATTAGCACTTCTAATCTCAAAGAAACTCATTGCTGTCATGGTTATAATAATGAAAATTTAGTAGGGGGAACCCCTAAATTATCAATATTAAGAATATGATTAAATTTATGTAAATTCTTACAGACTATTATGTGATCCTTTCTTTGCATTCCTCAGCTTTGTTGGGGAAATGTTTATAATAATTAAGCAGGAATACCAGGTCATATCTGTAATATAGCTGTGCTGTCAACGATGAGGTAAAAACATTATTGCAAATTTTCTCTGGGCAAGGAGTTGATGGGTGAGATTTGAGGTGGAGCAACATTTTCAGGGAACTTTGATGTTGGGGTTTGAATCTAGAGTTGTGGGAGAAGAGCTGTACATGGAAAGGGTCAAGATGGAAAGACCTGTGTGTGTGTATATATGAGAGAGAGAGAGAACATTGGATTGGTCTGCCTGAAGTTGGGAGCAGAAGCCACAAGCAGGAGTAGTGTGGATTAGGGGCTCTTTTAAGCACTTTGGTAGTTGACCCTGACCTTGATTGAGTTGAAATGCAGGCATTACAGAGGGAGAGAAAAACTTGGACTTGGGAAAGCATGGGTTTCACCCTAATGATATATATACCTTCTTTGTGAAGCAACACTTCTTTCATGTTTTCTTCTCAGGTTCAGATTCAGAACAAAAAGGTGGACATCTCTAAGGTCTCCTCCAAGTGTGGGTCCAAAGCCAACATCAAACATAAGCCTGGTGAGTGGGCCTTCTTTGCCTCCAGATGCCCGGGGTCATAAACTAGCTGGGTTTTGTCCTTTTGCCATTGTCATTCCATAAAGTGTACTGAAGCCATCCCCAAGAGGACACAGCAGTAGAAACATCACAACCCTTGGTCCCTGTCAGAGATAGGGGATGGAGTGCTGATATCTTAGAGGAGGAATAGTTTATAAAGGCTGCCATTTGTAAGGGCATCCTCTTGAGGACCAGCTGGCTGCATGGCACTGTTGACCTAGGGCTAGGGGAGAGGTGAGCACTGTGCTCAAAACCCAGTTCAGCCTTCCTGATGAGTACTCCGAATACCAATATAGAAGGAGCTTGAGAGAGGCTTGGTGGTCAGGACTCATCTGTCACAGTTGGGAGCTATAAATGTTCCTGAGCAGAAAGTGTCACCCACCGGCTCTGGCAGAAGATGGAGAGTCATTCAGTGCCACCCTGGGCCTGCAGACATGGATCTTGGACTTCAGTAATGCAGTTTCCTTCCAACAGCACAGTTGAGCAACTCTGAGCAGCTGGGATGTTGTTTGAGCCAAGTCAGTGTTCTTGCCTCAGCGCTCACCTTAAAATCTTGGTGTTTCCTTGTGCCTGGGTCTGCAGCAGCTTTGAGGGTAGGGAAGTATCGCTGCAGCAGCACGCACATGGCCTGGCAGTGACCATGGGCCAGTTAGTGGAAGGCAAAGAAAATTCCTTTCTCTCTCAGTAAGAAGTGTCATCCAGCTTTGAATATGTTCTTTGTAAAAGGATCAAGCAGTTTGGCCCTTAATTAGCCTTCGATTTTCCCATTTTATCTAGAAAATGTTTTCTTGTGAGATACCTCCTTCTGTAGTGAAACTGAGTGACTTGAGGTCCAGTTATCGATGGGGGCACCTGCAGAATTTGGTGAAGTATGGCCCATGCCCCTGTCCTGAGCCTGTGGCCACACTGACTGGATACCTGAATCTCGCCCAGCAAGCAGATTGCCTTCCCTACTTCCACTGGTGAAGGACGCTGGGATCCCAGACCTGCCCTTGTCTATATCTACTCTTTTCAACTCATGGTCCTGGGTCCACTCTTGACATGCACCTTTTCTTCTTCTTCCTTTTTTTTTCAAAGATTTATTTATTTATTTATACAAGCACTGGGTACAGTCAGAAGCGTGGGAGGGTGAGAGAATTCACCAGAGCCAGAGCATGGAGCAGAACAGGCAGACGGACGAAGTACACTGCTGTGGGGAGCAGCGGGCAGCAGGAGAAGTCTGCGCGCCATGTGGGACTCTCGCAGGTGGCCAGGGATTGAACTGGCGCTACAGAGGCTGCAGGCAGCTTCGCAGCCCAGAACTCAACCACTGCACCACCGGAGAGGCCCTTGCACCTTTTCTTCTCTTCACTACTGTGTGATACCTTTCAGTGTCTTAGACCAACTGCATCCACCCTGTTTTGTCAGTCACTCACTTGGTGGTGACTTTGGGCAAGTCACTTCTTTTTCCAGCATCAGTGCTGGCATCTGTAAAACAGGGGCCTGACCTCGATGCACAGGATGTTCATGAGACTGGAGAAGTTTGGGGTACACCGCACTGCCTCCTTAGTTATGGGATGTCAGTTGTCACACTGCAGAGAGACCCTATATCAGATGCTTATCTTTGCACTTTTAGAGTTTAGCCCAGGGGGCAACACACTGCAATCTGGGCCTGTCTGAGTCTGGTCTGCAGCTGCAGGCTGGGAGGGTGGTGAGGATGGCTTTGCTTGTCAATGGAGGGATTCCCTCTGGCTGGATGAAGAGCTAAGTTGGGTAAGAGTAGACTTTTTTTTTTTGAAAGAGAAAGACGTGTGATGGCTGCAGCAGCCCTTCTCACCACACCACAGGTCAGCCCGTGGAGTAGCCCAATTTTGACAAATACTTGTTCACTGTACCTTCTTGTTTGTCTTCGAACATTTGGAACAGGTCACCTTTTCCCCACTTCTATACTGGACACATAGCCAGTCCTTGGCTTTTTTGTTCCAGGCCCCTGGCTTTCCCTTCAGGTATTTCTCTGCCATCCTGAATGACCAATTCCTTTTTGTTTCCAGGTGGAGGAGATGTCAAGATTGAAAGTCAGAAGTTGAACTTCAAAGAAAAGGCCCAGGCGAAGGTGGGATCCCTCGATAATGTGGGCCACCTGCCTGCAGGAGGTGCCGTGAAGGTAGTGAGTGGTTCACTGGGGGAGCAGCTAGGGAGGGGTGGGCTTGTGCAGCTGGAGTCTGGGTCCCAGCAGGTGGGCACCTGTCACCGCTCCTCAGTCTCTTTAAGAATCATGTTTCACTCACACCATTGCTGTTTCCCATTGTCCATCATCAGTCCTGAGGCAGGACAGATGAAGAGGCTCCAGCCCTGCCACTTCTCACCCTTTCAGCTGGAGACAGAATCTTCTCCTGAGCGCCATGGCCTTCCTTACTTGTTGAGCCCATCTCAGTCAGTTTCAGAGGTCTGTGGGCTGGGGCATGCATCATCAGAAGGCAGAGGGTCCACATAGTGCAGCTCCTCCAAGCTACTCATGAAAGAGGGAAGTATGGGTTAGGTGCGTGTCAGACTCCATTCCAACCTGGGACAGGTTAGCATGTTTCCAGCTGCCAGAGAAGCAGGCCTGGAGTCCATCTGTGTCTGGGGGGACTGCCAATGGCCTACCCTGGCCTCGGGCTCTGGGAGAGCATGTGAGTGGCAGGGCTTCCATCCTTGGGACTAGCTGGGCCTCTGCTCTTTCCTCCTCTTATCTTCCCTCCCTCCCTCCTTCCACGTTACTGTGAGACCCTTTGTGTGCCACGCTGCTGTCTGCCCTTTGTTCCATGTTGTCTTAGGAAGGGGGCATTGTGGGGTCAGCACTTGCAGGCTTCTGGGTTTAAGGATAGCTGTGGCTGCTCAGGGAAAAGTGGGTAAGAAGAAAAAGCAGCTGCTGTCCCCTTCAGTCTTGCACCTGCTAGCCCAACCCTGGTCTCCCATCCTTTTGTCCTGTCCTACTTCATTGCTCTGATTCAGCCCTGCCTCATTTTTTTCAGCATTGTGGGTCTTGACTCTCTCACAGGCTCTTAATTTGTGCCTCCACACTTTATGAGCTGCTGCACTGTGGGGTGCTAACCGGTGTATAGTACTATGTGGCAAGTGCATCTAAACCAGGCTTCACCCCCATGCCTGTCCGACTGCAAGCCCCAAGTTCTTTTCCTTGTTCACGTTATCTCCCTTTTATTATTTCTGGAATTATTTTTCTTATACACCATTCTGATTAAAGACCCCTGTGGAATCTTCCATCATCACTTTTTGGGCATTCTAGATCACTGGCGCCTCCCTTTCTTCTGCTTCTCCTTGTGCTGGGTGTTCACTTCCCTCCCATATACTCTCCTCCTGTGAAGCTCTTCAGACCTCCAAAGTCTCCTTGAGTCACCCCTCCTGGTACATCTCCTTCCTTTTGCCATGTGGCCCCATGTCCAGAATGTTGCCCAGCAGAGGAAGGGTCTCAAGGTCTGCAGCCCACGAACAGATAGACAAACTAGGCAGGGCTGCCTCATTACTGCTGTGAGTTGCTGAGAAAAGCCCTCTGGGCATACACTATATGCAGAAGGTGCCTGGGATTTGTTGGGACATAGGCGACTGACATTAAACTCCTGGAGCTCCCTAACTTACCTGTGGCATCCCTGCTTCCCAGCCAAGGCAGGCCCCACCATCATGAGATTGTTCTCCAGTCTTGTTGCTGTTTTTATTTGGTGTCATCCTCATTGAGAAGCCTGGCACCTCTCATCTCAGAGGCTTTTTGAAGCCTTGTACTTCACAGAGGGAGCTCCAAGAGCATGTGCCTGTCCAGGGTAAACCACTGAACCCTGGACTGTGCTCTCCTACTCCAGAGCCTGTGTTCTTGCCCCTACCTAGCCAGGAGTCAGGCTTATGGTTGGGGTTTGGGGTGGGCAGCACCTGTAACTTCATCCAGTGGGGAAGGGGCAGTTGGGTGGGGGCTGTGTGTAAAACCCACCACCATCACCCATCCCACTCCCTCCCCAACTGACCCTGCACTGTCTCCCCCACTGTTTCATTGTAGACTGAGGGCGGTGGCAGCGAGGCCCCTCCGTGTCCTGGCCCCCCTGCTGGGGAGGAGCTGGCCATCCCTGAGGCAGCGCCTGAAGCTGGCGCCCCCACTCCAGCCAGTGGCCTCAATGGCCACACCACCCTGTCAGGGGGTGGTGACCAAAGGGAGGCCCAGACCTTGGACACCCAGATCCAGGAGACAAGTAAGTGGCTGGGCTTGGCCTGAGGGCCAGCCAGGGGCCCTGCCACTGGCTGCAAATTGTGAAACTCCTTTGTTTTTTACTAGAATGTGGCCTAAATTTTAACGAAGCAACCTTTTATTTTCCAGGCATCTAATGATGACATTCTGGTCTCGTCTTCCGTTCCCTGTGTCCCCCTCTTGTCTCTCTCGTTGCCCTCTCCCTTCCCTCCTCCCGTGTCACTGCAGATTGAGACCTACAGGCTGACGTTCCGGGCAAATGCCAGGGCCCGCACCGACCATGGGGCCGACATTGTCTCCCGCCCTCCCCACTTCCCTGGTGGTCTCAGCTCAGGCACCCGGGCCCTTGGCTCCCTCTCCCGGGCTGCCTACTAGAACCATGACTGCTCGGTTGCTGGGCAGTCTCTAGACCCCTCCTTCCCTCCTGCCTCGCTTTTCCTGGGCAGCAGCAGTCCCACCCCAAATCTTCTAACTCCCTGCCCCAGGCCCAGCTCTTTGCTTTGCTCCTGTCATATCCTCACACCAATGCTCCAAGGGGAAGGCTGGGAGGGGGAAACAGGGTGGGTGAGGCTAACTTGGGATCCAGGAGAAGGGAACAGGATTCCAACCTCCTCTATTTTGGGTTTCTGGACCAAACCCAAGAGAAACTGACATGCCCTTCCTCCTCCTATCTACCTGGAGGGAAGATTGGAAGTCGACATCCACATGATGGCCGTGTGCTGACCGCATCCCCTGGAGCCCACTATGCCACTGCCTCTTTTCCTTAGACCCCACAGTGGTGCCCTCCATGCTGGTGGGGCCAGATGCCTCTTGCTACCCTGTCCCAAGTTAGTTAGAGGTCAGCGCTACTGTCCCCACTGCTTCCCATATCTGCCTAGCTGCTATCACACTCTTTTTCTTGTTTTACCCTTCCCCCACTTTTTAAAAATAACCTGAAAACTGGTGGAGTTTTGCAGGTTGAAGCCATGTCTAAATGAAAGTCCGCAGTAGGTGTTAAAGGAAATAGGAAGGGAGATCCTTAAGCCTCCAGCTGGGAGGTCAGGCATTGGGGGCTGCCCTGGTCTGGGCAGCTCAGGGCCCCAGAGATGATGTGAACCAGGCAGGAGAGGCATAGGGGCAGTGGTCTGGTGATGAGGTAGTTCACACTAGGATCTAGTCGTGTGGACTGGTGGTTTTATTATTTTGTGTGTATGCTGCTTTTCTTTCTAACCAAGAGGCTGGTTTTGGCATCTCTGTCTGTCTCATTCCCTGGGATCTGGTGGGATATACAAGACCAGGGCTGGAGAAAAACCAGGAAAGGCCATGGATGTCAAATTTTTCCCAGCCTCCAGGCCTAGGACATTCGTGCCCTCAGTTATCACGGAGCTCGAGATGTCCAGAACTTGTGGATAGTGGGGAATCAGGTCTGGAAATTCAAAAATAAAGGCATGAGACAGGCCATCTGCTTCCTTGTAGCCTGACTGGAGAGGAGTGGGCGAGACAAGGCAGTCTGTAGAGGGATATCCCAGCTAGGCCTGGTCTTGGGATGGCTGCAATGATGAGAAATCCCGGGAATTGTATTGACACAAAGATTCTTAATTGCACTTGTATTTTTTGTATTAAAGTTTGCATGGTTTCTAATAAAGGATTAAAACATAAGAGTTTGTAATGAAATGGCCTGGGAGTTTCCAAGGGCTTTTCCTCTGGCAGAGCATTTTCTGCTGTGCAGACTTGTCTCTGAGGAGGCAGCCCATTTTGCCCCCTCAGGCCCTCTTTCTCCACCTCTACCCACTCCTGCCCTGCCTGCTCCTCTTGTCCTTGAAACTGGAGAAGGTAGGGGCTTTTGACTTGGTTCAGGTTTGATCTCCATGTAGAGGGAGGGCATTCCTGGGCCAGAAAGATGTTCCTGATTTGAAGTAGCATTTTCTTTGGGCAGGTTTGTGACACCCTATCCCCAGCTTTCCCAAGCACATACCAAGAAATTGCAGAGGTCTTGGAGAAAAAGTGACGCCAGAGCATATCTACAGGATTTGACCACCAGGGTCATTAGGACACCTGTTTTGTGAAGAAAAGGGGTGTGATAAAGCGCAACAGTAGTGGGGGGTAGGGCAATAGGAGAGAGTAGGGATGACAATGCAGGACATAGAGGTACCTGTGCCCTCCCCATTGATCTGGGGACCATAGGGGTGCCGAGTTTGACAACAGGCTCTATCTAGAGCCTTTCGCTCCTTTGGCCAGGGGTAGGGTTGGGGGAGGTGCCTGAGCAGAGCACTCTCCAGGTGGGCTGAAGTGGACTGTGTGCCGAGAGGTCATCTGGTCACAGCTCCATATTCTGGGTACTCTGTAGCCATTTAGGGGTGGGGCATTTCTGTATTTCCCGGTTTGCTTATGGCTCAGCCATTTCCCGTGTGGATCTGTGATTGTTTTAATGACTTCAAGAGTAAATAAAAGCTTGTGATGTCCCACCACGTCTTCTTTTGTATGTCCTGGTTTGTCTCCACCTCCAGCATGGATAGCCCTGTCCACCCCCATTCCCATCCCCTCACATTGAGGGCCTAGTATGCACTATATAGTCTGGACCTGCACCTGTGATCCATCTGTGGATCCCATGAAGTCCAGACTTGTGGCAGGGTTGTTGCAAACCCTAGTCCACCTGAGAGTTAAGGTCCAAGTGGATATAGGTTGCCTGTAGGATTTCACCCCCTCCCCCCAAACTGCGGCTAGGCAGGGGAAGCCAGAATGACTGAGAATGCACACTGTGGCCCCCACATCAGCACTGTCTGACCTGCAAGGAGAGTCCTGACAGGCTCTGCCCATGGTAGGTTACCTATAGGAGCAGCTGTAACAACTGGTCTAGCCTAGGAGTAAAAAATCTGTTAACAGCACTGGTAGTCCAAGAACTTGAGGGAGTGGCTCTAATCCCCCTCCATGCCTGACTCTGGGCCATAGCCCCACTCCCCACAAAGAATCATCAGTCCCTCCCCTTCACTACCACCCTTCCTCTTGGTTTGACAACTCAGGGTGCTGGGGCCCTGAGAGAGGAGCCCCAAGTGGATAGCGATGCTCACAAGGGATAAATAGAACTTTATTTTAAATAAACATTTGCACTCTGTACACAGCCCCAGCAGATGCCAGGCTCAGTCATCAGCTGACTTGCGCACGTCAAAGCTGCCACAAGGTCCGCGCAACAGCTCTGCCAGCAGGGCAAGCAGCTGCCCATGCTCCTGCTGCACCCCTGGTGGCAGTGCTGCCAGCTCACTGCGCAGGCTCCGCTCCACCATGCGGCCCAGGGCACGGCGTAGCTCCCTCAGCAGCCGCACGGTGCGTGAGTCACCCTCCAGCCTCAGCAGGTCACTGTCACTCAGTGAGATGGTGGCCCGGCGCCCATCATCTGGGGCAAGAGAAAAGCAGGAGTCAAGGTGAGTCCAGGTCCCTGAGGAGATGGAACAGTCCAAGTTGCTGTGGGGTGGAAGGTCTGCAGGTACTGACCACGGATGTGGACGTCCCCGTCAGTCAGCAGCAGCACAGCTAGTGGGTGCACCTGGGAGGAGTCCCGGACGAAGACGCTGCCATTGGACTTGACAGCCATAAAATACGTCAGCCACCGGCTCCGAAGCCGTGTAGCCTCCCTGAAGGAATATAGGGCTAGGTGAGGCCATCCGTCTGGCCTAGCACAGCTGCCCTACCCGCCCTGCCTGCCCCCCACCTGTTAATGGTCGACTTGTGCAGCAGGATGTTGCCTGATTTGGTCCTGTAAGTGACGCTGTTGGGCTTAAACTTGCCCTGCCGGGTCACCTTGCCCTGCCTCACCTGCAAGGGGAATAAAGGAAAGAAAGGTGGGCTGAGCAAGAGTTTGGGGATGGGGAAGTGGGCTGGGGCCTGGTAAATCCCCCTCCCTGAGGCATCACCTGGATGAGGTTGGGGTAGAGACCGGCCATCAGCACGCCCTTCACCAGCTCCTCCTCTTCACTGTACTCATTGCACTGGGCTGAGGGCAGGGTGCAGTCTGAGGGCTTCCCCACCAAAAATGCCTCATAAATGTTCTCTGAGAACTGTTTGATGAGTCCTGGGGAGGCAAAGCTGGAGTGAAACAACAGCCCCCTAGCCACAAAGTTGAAGATAGAAGCTCTTTACACACAAGCCCAGTGCCGGGGGAAAGGGAGAAAGTCTATAAGAGGCTAGGCACAGAAGCCTACTGACCATGGATGAAGCGCAGACTGGGTGCATAGAGCAGGTTCTCCTCTAGGTAGTTCTCACGGGAGCTGCGGTCCTGCCAGCGCAGTACTTCCTCCCAGCCGGCTACCGCCCGCACGAAGGCCAGGTGATCACTGCCACTGTCATGGCTCAACAGTGCCTTCACCTGGGCAGGGAAGGAGAAAGGACCAAGGCCATGGGGCAGGAGCTAACAGGAGGCCACCTCTGACAGAAGGTAGGAAGGAGAGCCAGAGGGTCACGCAACGGGACTGGGTCTGACCTTGTCCACCTCTGCCCGGTTCTGCAGGCTGCTGCTGAAGGGATCACGGGTGAGGCAGGAAACCACCACTAACAGCGGGTGCAGGCAACGGAAGATGGCGGCCAGCACTATGGCCTTGGCCAATCGGGGGTCAGTGGAGATATGAGCCAGTCGCTGCCCCAGAGTGGTCAGGTACTCCCGCTGGTCCAGCACCCCTGCAATAGCTCAGCTGTCAGTCCCACCTCCAAGAGCCCCTCTGCAGCCCAGCCAGGTCCTGCCCCACTCACCAATCTCCTGAAGCAAGATCACAGCCTCATCCACTGCCTTAATGTTTGGACTGTCCACAGCCTTGGAGAGGAACTCCACTGCCTACAGCAGAACAAGCCAAATCCCAGCATAAGTCTTGTGTCCTGTCTCCCCTTTCCCAAGGCTGCCCCTGGCCCCAGCCCATCACTGCCATACCGTCTTCTCAGGCATGTGGATTTTGGCTTGCAGCACCAGGTTCTCGAGGGGTGTGCGCAGGATCTCTGGCACTTGGAAAGGGACCATTTTCTCCAACCGGCTACGTGGGAATAGGTGGTAGGCAAAGCCTGACTGACAGCGGCCCGCCCGGCCCCGGCGCTGGATCACATTGGCTCGTGACACCCACACGGTCTCCAGGCAGGACACCTGGGGGAGGGAGCAGGTGAGCAGCAACACAGACGCCACAGGACTTCCTCAGTGCTTCCCCATACCTGGTCTTTACCTCAATGCTTCAACAGCACTCTTCTCCCCACCTTACCCCCCGCCCCCCAACAGGGATACTGAGACCCCACAAGTGTGGCCTTCTCCAGACA